GCTGAAGATGGTATCTTCAATCGGGAGAATTTCCTGAAGGAAGCCAATCACGTGACAGAAAATTTATAAGGAAGATAGCCATCAAATTCTTCCTTAGTGGTCAAGTTCTTTACAAGAAATCATTTAATTCAACCCTACTAAGATGTGTGGATGCTGCAGAAGCTGAACAAATCATGAAAGACATTCATGAAGGTGAATGTGGACTGCACATGAATGGACATCTTCTAGCCCGAAAGATTATGAAGTTGGGATATTATTGGATGACAATGGAAACAGATTGCATCCAACATGTGAAATGTTGTCATCAATGTCAAGTTTATGGAGACAGAATTAATGCACCGCCAAATGAGCTACATCAAATGTCTGAGCCATGGCCATTTTCAATGTGGGGCATTGATATGATTGGTCCAATCAACTCCAAGGCCTCAAATGGGCATCGATTTATCCTGGTTGCTATTGACTATTTCACCAAATGGATTGAAGCAAACTCCTACACGAATGTTACTACCAATAATGTTGCAAGATTCATTAGGCGGGACATCATTGCTAGGTATGGGGTTCCAGAAGTAATAATTACGGTCAACGGCTCAAATCTAAACAACAAGATTGTGGATGATTTACTCGAACACTTCCACATCCGACATCTGAACTCATCCCCATATCGTCCACAAATGAATGAAGCAGTTGAAGCGGCAAATAAGAATATCAAGAAGATATTGGCCAAGATAGCTGAAAATTATCGTGATTGGCACGAAAGGTTGCCGTATGCTCTGATGGCATACCGAACTTCAATTCGAACATCAACTGGAGCAACCCCGTTTTCCTTGGTTTATGGAATAGAAGTAGTGCTACTTGTTGAAGCAGAAATTCCTTCATTAAGGATACTATTCCAATTGAAGCTTTCAGAAGCTGAGTGGATTCAACAAAGATATGAACAACTCAACATGATCGATGAAAGGAGACTAAGAGCTATATGCCATGGGCAAGCCTATTAGAGAAGAGTGGCCAAATCCTTTAACCGAAAAGTGAAACCAAGGCATTTCAAAACAGAGGATTTAATAGTGAAGAAAGTCATCCTCAATAACTCAGATCCCCATGGCAAATTCACTCCGAATTATGAAGGTCCATACATTGTCAAGAAAGTCCTTCCTGGAGGATCATTGATTCTTGTAGATATGGCTGGAACAGAATTGGCCTATCCTGTAAATGCAGATACTGTCAAGATTTTCTACCCATGAAATGAAGACAAATATCCAATAAGAGATTTGGGTCACTTTAGAACATGTGCATATCATGCATATCATACATACCACGCGTTTCATGAACATATTTATCTGTTTTGCAGAAGAAAGCAAAAGGAGCCCGAACTAGTCGATAGTTTCAGAATCTCCAACGAAGTTGTCAAATAATAGAGGGAAGTATCACTTCCAATTCAATTTTTCCGTTGATATTCCCTAATGTGCTTTTTTTTTATCATCCCCAGGGAGTCAAAGAAAAGGGAGCAACAAAAGAAGAATTCCCAATAGAACCAAAGCAAAAACATGCAAACAAGAGGGATCTTGGTAAGTTGATCAGATAGGTATCTCTAAATCGTGAGTGCATGTGTTAAAGAAGTTGCCTTTCTAAGAGGAAATCGAAATTTTTCTTCCCCAAGCAGGATGATACTAAGACGCAGCAAAAAAAAAAACATATTGTTTTGAAAAGAAAATACCTCAGAAATGTTTCAAATCAAAAGTTTTGAAACACGCTTTCTTTGAGAATACATTAAGTATCAAAATTCCCTAAAAGGGATAATTTGACAAAAGTTTTTGAAAAATTTCAAAGAAAAATTTTGGATCAAATCGAATGGAAAGACGTTCAAATGATGAAAGGTAAGCCGTATCTAAACACGTCCCCTATACACTCAAAGTCAAAATGAAGGAGTGAGTGAGAAAACCCTCATCCAAAGGAAATAGGGGATGTTCGCAATGATTACATGGATTGAAATGATGAAAGGCAGTCATTTCACTATCCCAAACACATGCTTATCCCTTGCAAACCAAATTTGAGCCGAAACAGCGGAGAAGTTTTTCCAAAACAACCCTGTTAAGAACCACCCCACATTGGGGCAAACCAAGAGGTTTGTGGTTGACAGCTATGGAGAATAGGATCAAGAAAGATTTTATTGCATACTCTTGCATCAATCTTTCTATGATAACTTCAGATGAAGTCATATGGAAGCTCAAGACATCCCAAGAGGAAGAAGAGCACTTCATTTCTTATACCCAAACACATTACCTTTGGCAAAACCCAATTGAGCCTGAATATTCATTTCAGAACCCTAAATTGGTGATCATCTCTTCACACTGGAGCATGAGCATATGATCCACTTTGAATAGATAAAAAACAAAAGGCATGACACAGAGTCCTTAGAACTAAAAAAAGTCAAAGGCAAAAGAATCAGGGGCATGAAAAAGCAGTGTGCCTGGTAAAAGCAAAGCCGAATGCCCAAGAAAAAAGAAAAGGAAAGTTCAAAAGAAAGCTCAAAATGACGAAAAAGTCATGACAAAACAAAGTCAAGATCATGAGAGATCATAGATCACAACAAGTGAAAAAAGAAGAAGAAGAGATCGTAATGAACATTTAGGGGACTCTGATGTTCATAAAAAAGAAAAAATCCCTAGAGGACAAAAAAAAGAGTGGTGATGCCAAGAAGATCACCAATTTCATAAAAATCCTGAATTTAAACAAATGAACCCGACCCGACCCGGGTCAGTCTCCTTCTTCGGCCGACTTACCCAAGACACAATGAATCCAGAAAAATATCTACTCCGGCCCGGGACTTTGCCGACTTAATCCGAGCAATTTAACACGTGAAAAACTCCGATTCCAGCTGGAGAATCTCCCGCTGGCATCGGAGATTCGATCCAACCGATTCAAGGTCGGTAAATAACAAACTTTGGGCGAGAAATTGATTAATAAAAACAAGAAAAAACTGAACATTGAGAGGGGAACCCGTTCGACGAATTGCCAAAGAGAGAGAGAGAAATATCCAGAGAGAGATTGAAAGAGAAAGAAGAAGAGGAATACGAGTAGAGGTTCAAGGCCGAGCGATCGGCGTCGCCTTGATCGGGAGGGCGCCGGCGAATCGGCCGGCAAGAGTGACCTCTTCTTTCCTTCTCCGGTGAGCAGGCTGACCGCCAAGGCCTGAAACCGAGTCTTGTTTAGACAATCCAAGAGCTTCCTGGCAAAACAAAGCTCATCAGCTTCGAGAGCAAGTGTCAAGGAAACACCGTACAATCACCATCTGGTTCGGAATTTCACAATCAAACCTCTACAAAGAAGGTAAAGTTGGCTCATGATCATAGTTCAATAAAAATCTAGAATTTGTGTTGGAGTTCTATCATGTCTAATCATGCAATTTTCTCTGTGATTTTGAGATTAGCGATGTTTAAAACAAGTTTTTGATAACGTGTTTCATTATTTCTTGCATTTTGAATCACTAAAATGACATTTGACCGAGTCAGCCATCATGAAATCCACACCGGAGCTCCCAAACCTCGCCAGAGTGTCATCTATGGCCAATCGCCACTCAAGTTAGTAGTTTCTGACGTTGTTTTGTGCTCTGATAATTGTTTTAAGCATTAGAAACAGCTAGGGCGATTTGTGTGATAATCTTAGGGTTAGAAAAACCTGTTTAGGTCAGTTCAAGGTTACGTTTTTTTTCCTCAGTTTTCGCCGGCTGACGGTGGTCCGGCGACAAACCGAAGAGGTCAAACCGTTAAAGGATGATATGTAGTTGGTACAGAACTCAAGATTGGCTTTGGATAGTGATCGGAAGGTCATCGGAAATTTGTTCGAACCGACGGCCTCGAAAACATTTGTACCAAATTCATGCTCACAGGTGTTCGGCGAAATGCTGAAGAGAAAAAAGAGTGAAACGGTGCCGTTTTGGCATCGTCCCCGCCGGAGCATTGGTCGGCGCCGGTGCCGGTCGGTTTGACTTGATCGGGTCGGTCTGAACCCGGTCCGATCCGGTTCGCTTTCCCAGTGAGAAAATTTTTAAAAAATAAATAAATAATATAAAAAAAATAAAAATCAAGAAAAATATAAAAAAACTCAAAATAAAAAAAATTCATAAAAAGTAGAAAATTTAAAAAATTCATAAAAATCCAGAAAATTCCAAAAATACAAATAAAAAAATGTAAAAAATTGAAAAAAATCTAAAAAAATTGAAAAATTCGAAAATTCAAAAAAAATTTCAGAAATTCGTAAAAATCAATTCTTGGTTAATGAAATTCTCAGAAATTCAATTTCCGAAAAAAAAAATCAAAAATTTTAAAAATTCACAAAATGGTCCAAAAATACTGTGGCCAACCTTGGAAAGTGAAATTTGAATTTTTGGAAGTGCTCAAATGGCATTTTTAGAAAATCTCAAATTCAGGGGTTATAACCCCTAAAAAACCCTAAAACCTTAAAAAGACACAAATCATGAAATGAACAAGCCTTTAGGGCTTCATTAGGGATTGGATATTTGGATTGATTTTCATTTTTAGAGACAATTTAGGATTGTTTGGTTTGATTGGCCTTGATTGTGCATTAAATTCTTGATTGATTTTCCTCGCAATTAGAATTGATAGGATTAGTGGGTAAGTCTCGGAAACTTGCGTGACACATTAGACATCGTATCATTCTTAAGTACCGAAAGGGCGTTAGGGATCTCGATTTGGGATCATTAGCGTAATCAAGTTCCCGTACTCAGAATCTCTGGTTCGTAGAATCATGGTATTTCTCCCATACCTCGATTAGGTTTCTAGTCAACCTACCAATAATGACTAGTGGCGACTCCAAAATCGAAAACTTAGATCAAATAGGAAATTACCATCCACTGTCACGTGAGGTATGGTCTGGGAGAGACCCTTACACGGAAATACCTCCTTAGCGCGCAAACCTCGAAAACCCAAAAAAAGCATGGCGCGACACATATAAAACTTACAATAGATGGTTCTACCATAACTTACTTGTCTTTTGTCAGGCCTTGGTCCAATGGAATTGGCCTGAGATTGAGCATGAACTTCAGCTATACTTGCATTGGCATGAGTACTAGAAGAACATACATTGGCCTGAGATTGAGCAGGAGCTTCAGCTGTACATGCATTGGCATGAGCACTAGATGAACATACATTGGCCTGAAAAGCACATAACAAGCATTAATTGACAACATATTAAGATAACATGCTTGACATCAACATGATCAATTAGTTGAGACAATACCTTTTTCAAAGGACATCCCTTGCTGTTTTGTCCAACCACATTGCAGGTAGAACAAGTCAATCGTTTACCCTCTTTAGTCATTCTATCACCTTTTACAAGCTCAATTGGTTGCTTTCTTCTACTCCTTTTTGGCCTACCGGACATCTTCTTCATCGGTGGGGGTTAAGGAGCCTCTTTCAGCGTTTTCTCCCAAAATTTTTGTCCTCTCACCATAGGAATCATGAATTGATAAGCACTTAGATACTTTGCCTTGTAGAAGCATTCAGCTAGGTAGTCGCTCGGATCATTTCTCTTGTGGTGTATCGCATAAATGGCATGACAACATGAAGTTCCCAAGCTCTACAAGAACAAGTCTTCAAATTTAAGTCAACAACATATTTGTCACCACCTTCCATAATCTCATATCCTTCATCTCCATTCAATATCAAATGACAATACCTACTAGTTGTTGTATTCTGATGTAACTTATGCGCAATCCTTGGACCATAATTTCTAGTCCACCTAGCACATCCATCCCTTTGAGTGTGCGTTCTATTTATAACCATGATTCTAATATCCTCCAGCATGCTCAAAATGGCCTTGCACCTACCTTCCACGCACCTCCCGTTGAAAGCTTCACTGAGATTATTATCAATAATATCACATTTAATGTTGGTGTCAAAGAAGGCTTTGCACCAGTGTTTTGGCTCGGTACGGAATAGATCGTCATGACCTTGGTGAGTCATTTCCTTCAACCTCTGTCTATGAACCTCAAAATCTGACATATTAGTACTCTTAGCACATTTCCAAAATTGTCTCGTCAACTGTTTTCCTTAGTATTTTTGTCCCCAATTGGAATATATGTGCCTTGCACACATCCTATGTTCTGTATTTGGCAAAAGTTCAGCTATGGAAGGGATGAAACCCTGACAAATATAAAAAAAACAAAAGCATAAGCAAAACATTAATATTATAAGCATTGCATACATTGTTGCAATCAATTTCCAAATGAGTCATAAAGAAGCATTGCATACCTTTTGTTGGTCACTTATCAAAGCCTAACCATTGCCATAACACATATCAAAGTCTGATTTCAACAATTCGATAAACCAAGTCCATGTGTCCTTATTCTCGATTCTTACCACTGCCCATGCCACTGGATACATTTGGTTGTTGGCATCCCTCCCTACAGCACACAATAACTCACCCTTGATCAAACCGCTCAAGAAACATCCATCTAATCCAATGATCTTCCTACATCCAGCCAAAAAACCTTTCCTGCAGGCATCAAAGCAAATGTAAGTCCTATCAAATAATGGTAGAGAATCTGGAAGTGGCCTTTCAACTTTCATCTTAAAATTGCTTGCAGGACTTGCAGTGTAAAGCTCTCCCAAGTAGTCATACATTTGTGCATACTCCTCCTTATAATTACCTTGCGGTTCCTTCAATACTTTTATCTTTGTTCTCCTACACTGACTCAAAGTGACAATTACTCCCAGCTGTTCTCTAACTAATTTCTTCAACTTAGGTACATTGATTTTAGGCATTGCAGAAATGAAAATCATGAAGTGTTTAGCTAAGTAAGCACTTGACACTCTCTTATTTTCGAAAGTGATACTGCATATATGCTTACCTATATATTTTTTCAAATGAAATGACTCAGTCTTGCTATCAAGAGCACCATAAATCATCCAATTACAATTTGTCTGGGCACACCTGGCTCTTACAATTTTTTTTGTGTTCTTGGTGTATTTGATTACTCTTTGCTCAGCCACAGAGTACCTCAAAATTGCATTTTTTAATTCAGTTGCATCCTCGAATGTCATGCCGACAATAAATACCGGATTTGTACCATTTTGTTCATATGATGGGAACCTACTTCTCCTCCTTGAAATAGCAACATCAACCTCCTCGTCGCCCTTATCATTCAAACCTGATTGAAGACTTTCTTCATCATTTGAATAACGGTACTCTGTTTCGTACCCAGAAGCATCTATCAACTGAGCCTCATCCACAACCAGTGTTTGGGAAGTACCAGCTGCCTCACTATAAGCGCCACTTTTTAGCCTATGTCTCGCTGAAAATTCCTTTAATTTTCTCCTTGCATCAACCAGTTCAAAATCATCACCGTCACTCAATTGTTCCACATCCACTAAATTACATGCATCATCATCCTCCCCCTCGTCCAGATCCTTATTAGCAACCTCAAGCTGATTCTCGTCATCATCAATATTCCCAATCACATTATACAAACCTCCAATTTCCATCTCAGCTCCCGTCTCTTCATCATCAAAATGCTCAACATATAGGTCAATATTTTCAAAACGCAGATGATGATAAAATAGATCTATCACATCAGAGTTATCCTATAAATACCTAAGAGTTAGCCCGTCTTTAAGAGTCGTACTTCCAGGAACTTTGTAAAAGAGTTTCTCTATTTCACGCACACCCAAGGCCTCAATAGCTTCAATTATATTAGACAGTAAACCATTATTTAAGCCTATTTTGACAACATCAACCCTTCCACCTACGTATTCCAATGGAGGTCTAACTTGAAACTTACCTCCAAAGAAAACAGTGACATAAACTTTGTTCTCGGCCATTAGACCTACAAGGGAACAAAAACAAAGAGTAAACTTGACTGAGCAGAAGAAAAATATTGATGATTTAACCACACAAATAAATGCTCTAAGAGAGAAAAGAGCAGAAAAACAAATGAGAAAAGGTGTAGCTGTCTGGAATGGAATGAAAAGATAGGCAATCTGTAGCTTTGATACATCTCATTAAAGGTTTTAAGCTACGATACAGAAATTTTCCAGTCTAGAAATTCCTTCCGTGAAATGGGAGCGACATAAATATCATCCTTCGATTCGCAGAGTCATTTGGTAAAGGTTGTAAGAACATCATCTTTGTGTTCAAACCATAATTGAGCTTGTTTATTTTAGTACTTTCTAGCTTGAAGAAGAACTTCATAGCAGAAAAGAATCTTGCAAAAACAATGAACATGTGAAAAGTAAAAAAAAATAGTGCAAAGATAAAATATCTGGAGCAAGACCGATGATCGAATCAGATGATGAAGAACACATTCTGCTGCACAAAGTTTTCTAAACTTGCAATGACCAATGGAGAAGTAGCTTTTAACCCAAAAAAAAATGGAGAAGTAGTTTATTCACATTCCGAAATAGCATAGCAAGATTTGGCTACTGCGAGAAGGTTGTGTACATCAGCACACTCCGGAGCTAAATTTATGTCTACTGATCCCAGCTAACCTAAGCTTCTACAATCAATGGAAAATCTAATCCATGTCTGCTGAATCAATTATGAAGATACCGGAAGCAGCACTTTGAGTTTCCATCACTCTCAGTTGACTCATCATGCTCTTCGGTAGAGGTTTAGGCATTGTAATGAGGATAGAGGATGACTACTAATAGTTGATTGTGCATCAACTTGAGAGTGCCTTCAGACAAACAGCTATCCTATCCTACCTCATCGCAAATCGCAACGGAAATCGAATCGCTCTGAACACACTGGTCCTGACCGAACTGGAATAGAAACACACGGCGCTCGATACCCAAATGCTATAATGCAAAGATCGATACCTACGCGAGGAGGAGTCCTCGTTGCCGTCGCTGTCGCCGTCTCTGTCGTCGAAGCCGCTCAATCCGCCGTCGAGACTTCCACAGGACAGGTCTTCGCACGAACTCGCTATCGACAAAGAAGAGAACTCGAACTCGAACTCTACGAACTCCAGATCATGATTAAACTCCAGATGACGATGGGAGTCGAACTCTAACTCGCGAGGAGGCCCAAATCGCGAGGGAACTTGAGATTGTTGAACTTGATTTGGGGCTTAGGGTTCAAAGGGAGACCAAGTGTTAATTTCGTTTAAAGAGAGAGAAAGACGATCACGAGTCTAGGCTTAGGGTTTAGAGGACTTTGATTAGGGAAGAAAAAGAAGAGATGTTGTTTCGGCAGAGGTTAAATTGGAGCATACGATTCAGAGAGACGTTCAGAAGGAAGAAGGAAGGAGACGATGTAGGGGAAAGGAAAGGGAGACGTTCAAGAAGAAAGGGGGACGTCTAAAAACGATGTCGTTTTGCATACGTGGACATTTTTGCTTAAATCATTTTCCACGTAGGAGAGAGAAATGATTAATAAGTGCCACATCAGCGCCACGTCAGCATTTTCCGTTAATAAATTTAACGATGTTAACTTTAGGACTCAAATGCACTTTTGTTATAAGTTTTAGGACTCGATTGAACTTTTTGCAAGTTTTAGGACTCAAATTGACTTTTTTGACAAGTTTTACGACTTGTAGTGCACTTGTCCCAATGAATTAACAAGGTCACGTCCAATCACTAACAGGAGAAAGCAAGTGAAACAATGAGCTGAAGCTCAAAAGGCATTTACAATAATTATTAGTGAAACTTAGGGCTAATATTCTAAAAAATCTTCATCTTTAACTTTTGTCATAATTCTACTTTTTATTGCATAAAAAACCTCCAATTTTATGTCATCTCCTAATTCTATCCTAAATTTTTTTTTGTCCCATAAAAAATTTCGCAACTTTAGGTCTAGTCCTAATTCTATCCGAAACATTTTTTATCTCATAAAAAATGTTTTAACTTTAGATTTTGTATCAATTCTGTTCTAAACCTTTTTCTTTTGTCTCATAAAAAAATGTCAGCTTTAGGTTCAGTTTCAATTTCATTCTAATTTTTTTTGTCTTATAAAATATCACCAAAGTTTACTTGAATCCAAATTGCTCTCCATTAACCTTTGTCAAAATCGCTCTTAGGATTTTGCGCTTGTTGATCTCTCATACTTGGGACTATTCCATCTCTCGCGGTTGGAGAGCTCGTGCTTGAGAGTTTTGCCTCTCTCGATTGTCAACGAGAAATTTTGGACAGAGA